GTGTGTGTGTGTGTGTGTGTGTGTGTGTGTATGTGTGTGTGTGTGTATAAGTATGTATATGTATATATGTGTGTGTGTCTATATATATATATATTGCTTATACCCTTATTTGACTGCATTTTTATAGATGCAATTACGACGATACCCTAACATGATATTTACAGTTAAAAATATTCACTTGTATTTGTGGTGCTTCTACGTCGCAAATACAAATTGCATCATATATATATATATATATATATATATATGACTACGATGATCTCCTCAAAGATTTCATCCGCTTCTGATATAAATGCTCTTATTCCTATATTCGGAGCAGGTAAGTGATATGCACGTCATCGCTGGCAACGTTTACGCGGAAGCCGAAGAAGCCCAATGGGAGGGTAACTACCCGCCTCTACGCAAACAAAGCGAGACAGACTCAGACTCATCGAATAGTGAACTACAGTACCAACACGCCTACACAGTCATTCAGAAGGCTCGTGACCTGGATGCTGGGTCTGTCCCTGATGATCTGTTTGAATCAATCAGTAGTTTAGTAGAAGAGGCTGAGGCTGAGAGTGACGACGAGGAATAAACAGACGTATTTTAAACAGGCACATGCTTGACTAGGGGAGTTGGTACTTACGGCTAGTCTGACTTTTGGCAGAGACTTTGTGTAACTTGTATAACTTATAGCTTATATAACTTATATTACATACATAGCTTATATAACTTATATGACGACTATTTTTTACAACATACATAACCTATAACTTATATGATACACAACTTATATAACTTTAATACCGTATATAGCATACATAACTTATGTAACCTGTATAATTATCTATATAATATGACATACTTAACTTATAAAACTTGTATGGCAATATAATATACCACTTATGTATGTTATATAACTTATCTATATTTTATAACACATAACCTACAAGTTGTATGATTTATACAACTTGAATAACATATTTAAAAAAAAGTATATTAGTGTATGACAACATATAACTTATATGTATTTGTAACTATACAATATGCATAACCTATATAATTCAAGTTATATGATTTATATATCTTATATAATATATAACACAGACAGCTTATATAATTTATAACGTATATAACCCAATAAAACCTAAACTCTTTACAGAGCTTGTGCAAATTACAGAATCTACATAAAATATATGGCCTATATAACCAAGATAACCCATACAACATACACAACTTTACAACATACGCGACATACTCACGTACAACTTGTATAGTATAACTTATATACCATACATTGCTTACAAAACCAATGTCCGCCAATGTATGTGTAAATGTACGTTAGAGGTATACGTTAAGTTAGGATACCCCGACTGTCTATCGCCGCTGCAAAATCTCCCGCTACTCTAGTCAATGCTTCCTCAACTTCTCATCAGAGTATAAGGGGCAGCTTCGCTTCGCTATAGTGTACGACCTTCTGGAGACGTTTACGTTTTACTAAGTTGTCAGTCCATTACGTTACACTAAGATATCATACCACTTGGAATCGTTAGGTTTGGCTAACGTATAGGTGCGACGGCAGTGAGCGTATATTTTTTCTTTCTCCGATACTAGCTACATACATTGCTTTTGTACTCAATGGGGTCCGGCATCGGATTTTTCGCTGGACAGGCTATTCAAAATCGTATTTTTATCGATTCTCAGCATACAACGAGAACTTTGAAGTCCTTTGCACATAAGGAACCAACTACCCCCTTATATACACCCTATCGACATAGCACCCATGGGCATATGTACTGTATCCTATACCTGTCTCTGCCATCATCTCCGCGTACGTGGTCTATAGCCACAGTGTAGATGATTTCGACCAGTTGTATGAGCATCATACATGCTTGTCCACACATTTGTGTACACCCTCCGCCATGCACCCTCGAGGCAGTCTGTCGTCTCTGCACAATAACTCTCTTAACCAACCATAGGTGACCTATCTACCTCATATCCAATAGAGTCCTCTACATTCTCTGGATAGCCTTCTGTCTGCCGCTGTGTGAGTTCAGCAAAACTCATTCCCAACCAGAAGTACCTTACATCGGCCGAGGCACTCGCCACCCACCCCTCTGGCCGTACTCGGTTGAACGTCGAATGGCACTATACCTACCTACCAAGCGAACAGCATCCGCCCGTAACACCTCCCCACACACCCTCCCCCAAGGCACACACACACATATGCCCACCTACCTACAGACAACTCTGTATCAGAAGTCTGAGCGCCTATCTCCTCACTGTGCGCGCAATGGGAGACGGCGGACGTGTGAAGTATGAATACGTTAATATAGCTCCCGTCCCTTGTTTGTTGTGTTCACATCCGCCCCTCTGAGAACGGATAAGCACGCACATGGCTTGCACTACACTCTCCCCCGTGTTTGCCACACGGTCCAGTTTGACTATGTAAAACTCAAAACCCTAAAACCTTAAGCCCTATAACGCTATACGCTATATCCAGATTCTCGCACACAAGAGTCAATACTCCCAACCACAGCGCAATGCGCTGGACTAGTATTCGCCTATACCGCCCGTCGACGTTAATCTGTGTGTGTGTGTCCCCACGGTACCAGAACCTTCAATATTAAACGCAATAGGATGGCGTTTAAAAGGACTGTTCTTTGCCCTGTCCATTTCCCCATGGGATTGGACAGGGCACGAGGCGCATCGCTCTGTGTGCGACTACCGCCGATTCGCCACCGTCTCCCACATAGAGCTACGGTATGTTTTGCACCCACTTCTACCAATGGTTTGGTCTCAGAAGCACCTACGCTACCTACACCTTGCTCTTGCCCTATCATCTCTGCGTCCCCGTACTCGTACCCTGAGGACCTCAGTCAAAGCACCGCTCACGATTGAATCTCCTCGACCGAGTCCTCTGCACTCAGATAGTCGGCTATCGCCTTAGCCACATCCGTTGCATTAGACAGGTGCGGGTGGTGGTCCCCGGCGACTGTACACTCCTGTAGCTTCGTGTACCACCTACGAGCATTGGGCATGGCCTTGCGGAGGTCTTCAAACCCCTTGTCGCCCGCAATCATGAGTGTGGTGGTCTCCACATGGGTCATAAGGCTGTCCACATGCTCGAAAGAGGACCGGTACAACGACTCCATGCGCAGGCGCGGGTCTGACCGCCAGGCCACCCCTCCCTCGTGCACACTGAGGTTCCGCTCGCACAGCAGACGACACCATTCCGCGTCCATGCCGGTCAGCTTGGCCCGTGCTTGTACGGCCACCTCAACCGATTCGTATACAATACGCGGCTTGCTGGTATCCTCGCCGGCGAGTGCACGCATATGCATCTTGAGCAACCAGGCATCGTACTTCTCGGTTGCTCTGACCAGGCGGGCCTTGGACTTGCCCGGTTTCTCGTACATTGGTGATACGGCCTCAATCACAACCAGTTTCTTCACGCGGTTGGGGTGGGTGGCGGAGAAGGCGCTGGAGATCAACCCCCCCATTGAATGGCCGATTATGGCGGTGGGAGTTCTGTACTCTTTGTCGTGGTCAAGGTGCTTTAGCAGCATGTCCAGGTCGAGCATGTAGTCAGTAAAGTGGAGAGGGTACATGCCGGGTCTGTGGGGTATGTATAGCGTGTTTAGTTGATGATGAGACGGAGAGATTGTCGGCGTACGCAACAAGTAGGGGCACCATTCACATATACAAGTATGTGATATATACAAGTATGTGATATATACAAGTATGTGATATGTACAAGTACGTGATATATACAAGTATGTGATATATACAAGTATGTGATATATACAAGTATGATATATACAAGTATGTGATATATACAAATAAGTGATATATACAATTAAGTGATATATAAGTATGTGATATATACAAGTATGTGATATATACAAGTATGTGATGTATACAAGTGTGTGATATATATAAGTATATGATGTATACAAGTATGTGATATATACAAGTATGTGATGTATACAAGTATGTGATATATACAAGTATGTTGTACATACAAGTATGTGATATATACAAGTATCTGCTTGGCGACGACAATATATTAACAGGCGTAGAAAGAGAGTTCACTACTCCAATTCGATCCAGATTTGCTACAGTACTGCATATTAAAGATGTGAATATCACTTGCAAACCCCTCACTAGCCAGTCAAAGTGCATGTGCGCGTGTGCATGTGCATCCAAATACATGGGCAGAATGCCTATACACAATCACACATGCACATGCTGAGTGTCTAGTTGGACCAGCAGTTGTATTGCATTGCATGCAGCAACGTCATTCGACTGTACTCTCCATATTAACCAGAATAACAAATCTTAACATCGGCGTGATAACAAACAGGTGGCAAATGTGCATCCGTGTGTTTCATTCTTATGTAAGGTAGTGTTCGGTTCAACCTTCCTGGGTTTAAATGGTGTATGGCAGCCAGCCATGTACTTGTGTATCACTCGAACTCTTCCTACTTATGCTTCCTAAAGTTACTGATTAGAGTGCAGAAGTGCCTACGGATATAATATGAAAATACACGCCCCAGGTATACTACAGTGTGCCTGTGATATACCTTCTACGCCGCTAATAACATACCTATGCTCAGACAGCCCGTGTCCCGGCCAGTCCACCGCTAGCACCTGATATCCATATTCGCCACTGAGTCTTCGGGCCAAGGGTTCGAAACTACTGGCGTTGTCCAGCCACCCATGCAATGCCACCAGCAGAGGATGGTCTTTCTTCCCAAACCGACGAGCCCCTAAGCGTATCTGTGGTAGTTGTATGTACACGTCTTCGCCGTTAAATGTGGTAGCCGACATGGTGCGACGTATAGATAGGGCTATTGATCTACAACTGGTTGCGTGACGAATTGGAGATATGAACATGGGTGTGTAAGTCTAGCGTCCAATTTGAGGTATGAGCAAAGGTGTGTGTGCTTCTAGTAAATATATAATCCGAGAACTACTGTGTTTAAGTATTTATCGAATGATATGGCTCGCTTCACACCCTATCTCCAGTCTGGTTGTAGGCTATGTAGTCTACAGTTGTGTCGCTTCTGGACTTTCCTGTTGTTCACATGTCCATTTACAGGAGTAAATATACATACAATAGGGGCTCTACACTCTACACTCTACAGTCTATTTAATACACAGAGCGAGAGGGTCGTGTACTCCTTAGTCATGATATTTTGCGTTTAAAACGTATACGCTTTGGATATAAAAGCGTTTGCGTTCAATGGGGGCCCTATAGTTATCGATACGGGCGTATGTTCAGAGCCCTAAGGTGCAAAGTGTTGATAAAAATACGCTGGAATGTCCACACAGTTCTAAAAGTAGGTTGAACTTTTCCAGACTTTTGACCCGTGCTAATAAACGCTTTGTTTAAAAAAATAAACGTTTACTTTGATCTTTTTAGGTTGGACTCTCTTTTTTATATTTATTTATAAAGTTTAAACGGATTGAGGTTAGAGTTTTGAGGCAAGTGACTTGTGTGCGTGCCAGCGGCCGTGATAGCGGAGTATTGACGACCAAAAAAGGCAGTGATGATTGATAACGTAGAATTTGGCGGCATGTATTACTATTACCATAAGTATTCCATTTATATTTAACTAATAGGTATGAGTCTACAATTGGGAACGTATGCTGGACAGCTAGACAAATACATGAAGTACTGTATATAAAGACTAGTTCGGCATCGTTTCCGACTCAAAGCTGTACAACTTCTTTTCGAGAGACTATACCTTAGCGAACTGTCATATTGGATTTGAAGGTGTATTCATGCATAAGCAACAACAAAAAACTGAGGACAGCTTGAAAATACCATAGCTACAAACTTTCTCGTTATTATTAACGGTGCATCTCAAAGCGCCTTAAATTATGTAAAGTACTTCGCAGACCTAAACCCCTCACGTCTCATACTATCGATAGTAGTGGTGATCGATGTACATTGATTAAGACTGGCCAAAGCACATAAATCGTCAGTGAACCTACTATCCCCGACTCGCTTAACAGAAATGGACAAGGGGGGAGAACGAGTCCACTCTACCGTCGCCAACAAATACGAAGTACAAGTAGGTCGGTATCTCATGAACCGTTTGCGGCCGCTGATTCGGGTACTTTCTTTGCGCAATGAAAATAAACTATACAGCTACCGCAACTAAGCATCAGAACTAAATTGCATACTTTACAGATTTTATTTTATTTTCGAGATTCTAATCTTGCTTGTAATTTAGCAACAGTTTTCAAGCAATTTGAAATAATATATGCGACAGTGCAGTACTGACCAACAAGTGGTTTAGATGTGAGAACGAAAGTTGTTACTAGGCTAATTGGAGAATTATCATTGAATCGCTACGATATAAGTTATTTTTGACACGAGAATAGATCCCGATCTCTTTTTTGTATTTGCCAGATGGTAATAGGAACTGATTATACATGCATAAGCCAGGCTGCAGGTCATGCCGCCCAGCGCCACGAGGCGATGTATGTAGCATATGTACGTAGCAAACGCCGCTACGGGATAAATTGTAGAAAAATAAATTGTAAAAGTAGGGGAAGTTTTGAATTCCTATTCGTTTACAATGAACATATCGAATTTCCCATTGGACCTGGTATCAGCAACGATCACTGACACACAGTGCCTGTCCAATATATTGTCATTTTATTGTGTGACTAATGATGAGTCAATGACCTCATAGAAATGCTAGAAATCCTGATTTATTTCGATCGGAATCATCAGTTCCGTTCCAAATTTCCCAAAAATAATAGAATTTGGACTCTGAAATTGGCTTTCACTGTTTCAAGCCCTGTGCATATCAAATTATCTGAGGGTGGGGCTGCGTGCCGTGTGGCTGCCATCCAAATTTGATTTCAATATGAGTTTTGGCATCGCACTTTCTTCCTAAAAATATTTCAGAATGGAATGCGATCGCCCCAGATAAAGAATCCACCTTCGTTCATTTGACATTTATATTGCAATCTACAAGAGTGTACGTGAAAGAACATATTTCTGAGTCTCCGGGGTGGCACACTAGAGGTACATATAGCTTAGCCTCAGTCAGAACAAAACGGCACATATACCACATAAATCGAGTTTTTCATGCCTGTCAGTGTTGAGCGAAGGCAATACACAGGTATCACATTGCACAGTCAGCATCGCATGTCGGGATGAGTGGCGACAGTAGAGTCCCGTCCGCCTTGCAAGCACATTCTGATGGTTTTGATACCTGCAATGTGGTATACACACATACACACCATGCTGCTGCTGCGACTATTCAGAAGTTTTACAGGAAATGGAGACTACGTCAGAGGTTCATATGGGTTGTTAGAAGGGGCATGTCCCAATTTGACTTGGAGAACGTGAACACAAACCCAGAGCGCGTTGCTGATACCACAATGAATTCCTTAGCGCTCAGCAAAAACAATTTCTTGAGCTTCACTGAGTTGGATAACATGACGGATTCATATGGAGAGGTATGCATTACTACAACGGGCGAGTCAGTGTACTCTTGATAGGAACGTCGCATTTATATATATTCCATGTAGTGTTGGATGACCACCGAGTGTTCAAGAAGATATTCTTCATTCAGATTGTAGTAGAGTAATGAAACCCTGAAGCTAAGTGTCAAGACTCAGAACAAGTCAGATAAAAACAAATTAACGGTAAAGACTAGGTACAGCTGCACGATTTTAAAATGCCTACTACGGCGATATTGAAACTATAGCTAAATATACGCAGACAACTGCAAACGCCATACTATACGCGCTTGAATAACAATTTATCATGAAATTGCCTTTCAAAGTATGCAAAAGTATATCTATATATATACATATTTATATATATATATATATATATATATCTATCTATCTAATAAAAAAATAATAACA